GTGTATAGTGTAGTGTATAGTAGTGTATAGTGTAGTGTATAGTAGTGTAGTGTATAGTGTAGTGTATAGTAGTGTATAGGAGTGTATAGCAGTGTGTAGTGTATAGTGCAAACCTGTCAACCCCTTATAAGTACCCAACATTATTACAGCCCAAGTAAAACCCGTATCGGCCACATCTGGCCCCTTATACAACTTCAACGTTCATCATACAAAGTCCCATCGCGAGGGAGAGAAAGACAAACAGACAGACAATCATCACCACTACATTCACCACTACACTCACCACTACTAAGACAAGACGCAATTCGAATTTGCTGTGCCCGTATTGAAACGGCATGGACCTGGAAACTCAATATCCCCTGCTCAACAATACGGGCTAAAACCGCGCGGGTTGCCAGGTGTGATATATGTCGAAATGAACGTTGTTTGCACGGACACACAAAAAAGTTAACAATGTACAATGCGGGCGTGACCTCAGATAGCAAACAAAAAAATAAACCGAAAGAAAATGATCGTGTTCGAAATAAAAAAAATAAGAATTTTACGCACGAGTTCACACATTGCACCCAACACTTTTTAGGGCGCCACGCGAAACGTCGAACGCCCGCTGGCAGGAGGAGGTCACGGGACAGACCCAGCAGGTGCCACGGGTTGGCCGACTGAGATGACCGGTAGATGCACCACCAGCTGTAACCCCCTACTGTGCCAGGCTAGATGCAGGAGGAGGTCACGGGGCAAACCCAGCAGGTGCCATGGGTTGGCCAACTGAGATGACCGATAGATGCACCACCAGCTGTACCCCCCTACTGTGCCAGGCTAGGTGCAGGAGGAGGTCACGTGACAGACCCGGCAGGTGCCACGGGTTGGCCGACTGAGATGACCGGTAGATGCACCACCAGCTGTACCCCCTACTGTGCCAGGCTAGGTGCAGGAGGAGGTCACGTGACAGACCCGGCAGGTGCCACGGGTTGGCCGACTGAGATGACCAGTAGATGCACCACCAGCTGTACCCCCCCTACTGTGCCAGGCTAGGTGCAGGAGGAGTGCTGTGAGTAGCGAGTAGCAGCAGCACCTATGAAGGTAGACGCAGACAAAGCTCCCCCGTGTAGCCTCTAACAGACTGTAGGGGCAAGTGCTGTTAGCGTGCAGCACCTATGAAGGCTACCGGCGCTGTGGCACACGAGGGGGTGGGTGGCTACCAGCACCACGCCCGGCCGCCTTTGTCTCTCCCCCAGTGGCGATGTTCACTACACACCGCTACACCAGCTACTCGTTTGAGGCTGAGTCGACCTACACGCCGGCGCGCGCGCGCGTTGCGTGATGGGTCACGTCCACGGAGGCCTTTATAGAAGTCCAAGACGCAATTTGAAAATAATATCCGCAGGTTTGAAAATCGCAAACAATAAATTGGGGGGTGTAGGGGGGGGGGCTCGGGTTTCAGTGATCTGGGGGGGTAGGGGGGTGGTGGGGGTGGGAGGGGGGGAACGGTGGGACATCGGTGGGGAACGCGTGGGTATTTGGGGGCGGGTTAAGGGTGGCCTTACGCCTCTGAGATTCTGTCTCTCTGTGTGTCTCTCCGTATCTGTCTCTCTGTATCTGTCTCTCTGTCTCTCTTCTCTCTCTGTCTGTCTCTCTGTCTCTCTGTGCCTCTCTGTCTGTCTGTCTCTCTGTCTCTCTCTGTCTCTCTGACTCTCTCTGTCTCTGTCTGTGTCTCTGTCTGTCTCTCTCTGTCTCTCTGTCTCTGTCTCTCTGTCTGTATGTCTCTCTATGTCACTCTCTTTCTCTCGCTGTCTCTGTCTCTCTGTCTCCCTGTCTCTCTGTCTCTCTCTCTCTGTCTCTCTGTCTATCGCTGTCTCTCTCTGTCTCTCTGTCTATCGCTGTCTCTCTCTGTCTCTCTCTGTCTGTCTCTCTCTCTGTCTCTCATCTCTGTCTGTGTCTCTCTGTCTCTCTCTGTATATGTCTCTCTGTCTGTCTCTGTCTCTATCTGTCTCTCATCTCTGTCTGTGTCTCTCTGTCTCTCTCTGTATATGTCTCTCTGTCTGTCTCTGTCTTTATCTGTCTCTCATCTCTGTCTGTGTCTCTCTGTCTCTGTCTCTCTTTCTCTGTCTCTTTCTGTCTCTCATATCTGTCTGTCTCTCTGTCTCTCTCTCTGTCTCTCTGTCTCTCTCTGTCTCTCATATCTGTCTGTCTCTCTGTCTCTCTCTCTGTCTCTCTCTGTCGTGGTGGCGAAAAGCTTTCACCCTGAGAGCTGCGGCCGGCAACCGCCATCAACATCATCAAGATTTCCCCACCCCCCGATGATGGACGCTTGTGTTGCGCCCGAAACGTCGTAATTCATTTAATTGTGTCTACCTACGCGACTTTAGCGGAATAACCAAAAAAGAGTATGGATTCCTGCAGTCACGAAAGCTTCAAATGAAGATCATTATCGAGATCGAAAACACAAACAAATCAACCAAGGACTTTGACAATTTTGGATCGTGCATGCAAAAAAAAAATTGAGACACCTTCACAGAGTCTCGTGTTGTTGTTGTTGTTGACGTTATCGTCGCTAATTGGTTGTGTCCGTGCAGCGTTTGTTTGTTGATTATTTTCGTGTTTTTATTTTTTGCTGCTGCTGCTGTTGCTGCTGCTGCTGTTTGCGAAAATAAAATTAATTGAAAGCAAAATTTGAGCTCGGAGGAGGGGAGGGGAGGGGGGGCGGAGGGAGAGAGGGGGAGGGGGGTAATAACGCAAAAGACACCGATTAGGGGGGGGGGTAGTGGGGGGGGGGACGCAAAACCGGGGGGGGGTAGGGAGGGAGGGGAGAAGGAGAGGGGGGGGATTTTTTTTCACGGAGTCCGTGTTGTTTCGGGTGGGGGGTGGGGTGGGGGGTGGGGTGGGAGGGTTTTTGTCACGGAGACAAAAAATCGATAGTTTTTATTTCGTTTTTCAAACAGGCACTGGAGGTCTTTTTGCATGTGGGGGGGGGTTGGGTGGGGGGGGTTTGGGGTGTTGGGGATCGGGGTGGGGGTCAGTGGGGGCGAGGGGTGGGGTGGGGTTGGCACGTGGGGGGGAGGGGGGTGGGGAGGGGGGGGTTAAAGTCAATGTTAAAATCCCCACGGAATCAAAGCAGGACATTTTGTAAAATGTGAAAGGTTGCCAGAAGTTGTGCCGTTGAAATTCGCGTAAACATGCCACTTTGAGTCGTTTTAGTTTCTCATCGATTTTGTTTCATTTCGTCATTTTTTGTGCTTTTTTTGTTCATTTTCCTCGATGCGATTTTTTTTTTATTGGGGGAGGGTGGGTGGGTGTGGGTTGTGGGGTATTTTTTCCGCCGTTCCCGCTTCGGGATTTTTGTTGTTGTTGTTGCTGCTATAATCGTGGGAAAACTGCGGTGGTGGTGGTGGTGGGGGGGGGGGGAGAATATCTCCACCACTTACCGAGTACAAATAATCTCGGTGGATATTTTTTTTTCTTTCAAATTTAAGTTTTTTTTTTTTTGGGGGGGGGGGGGGGGAAGGTATCGGTCGCAAACATTCGGGAAATTGTCCGGGCCCAGCCATCACGTAGGTGGGCTGGGAGGCATTAGGCCCAGCCCTTTTGGTATCGTCCAGAAAGGTGATGGGGGTGGACACACAGAAGCACATGGTTGTTGTTGTTTGTTTGTTCGGAGGGAGGGAGGGAGGAGGGAGGGAGGGAGGGAGGGGGGCGGGTGGGGGGAGGGAGGGATGGGGGGGAGAGGTGGGGGGGGTCAGTAATTTTTTTTTGACGGTTTTCGGATAAATAAAAAAAATATCCCATTTTTAGTTTTGGTTACCGCTCACCCACCCGTCCCCCCTCGCCCCCCCACCCTCGCCTCCCCCCCCCCCTCATCTCGGAAAAAAAAAACATTTTTAGTTTTGGTTACCGGTCACCCACCCGTCCCCCCTCGCCTCGCCCCCCCCCCCCCCTCTCTCATCTCGGCAACAAAAAAAAGAAAATTTCCGCAAAATAAATTTTCGGAGCGATTTGGAATTTCGCTTTCTACTTTTTTGGGGAGGGAGGTTTGGGGGAGGCGGGGGGGAGGGTTGGGTGGGGTGATGGGTTCAGGTTTTTTTGGGGGGAGGGAGAGGAGGGGGAGGGGGGGCTTAGCGTGCGGTCAGAAGAAAGGGACATTTTTTTTAATCTTCTTGGTTCTTTCGGTAAAGTCACGTAGAAGGGAAATAATAAAATAACGTTGTCTTCCCGACAGACCTGTTCTTCACCTGAGGACGGCTGCTTGCGTTGTGGCAGAAACGTCGTGAGAATTGTATTTTATTATGTTTTATTTTTATTATTGTATTATTTCTCTTCTACGTGACTTTACCGAAAGAAGGGAAATAATAAAATAACAAAAATAAAACATGATAAAATAATTGTGAGAATAATTTTATCATGTTTTATGTTTATTAGTTTATTATTTCCCTTCTACGTGACTTTACCGAAAGAAGAGAAATAATAAAATAAAAATATGAAAAAATAAAACTTAATAAAATAATCCTAACAATTATTTCATCACGTTTTATTTTTATTATTTTATTATTTCCCTTCTACTTGATGACTTCACCGAAAGAACCAAGAAGATGAATCCCTGCAGTCACGAAAGAAGCTTTAAATCGAATTTTTTTTTTTTTACCAAAACTAGGAAACGATTTTCTCCCCCCATTGCCTTCCGCCCGCCCGGCTGCCTACCGCGCACTTCTTTGCAATTCTTGCGATTGCAACATCGAAGCGATTGGCGGATCGATGGGTCTGCCCGTCCGCTAGTTTCTAGGATCTGGGATCCGCTGGACGTGGTGAGGGTCGGTGCGGTGGCAGCTGCGTGCTGAGTGGTGGCAGTCTACAAAAACCCGGTCCTTGGCGACGGACTATAGCTCTAGGACAATATACACTATTATACACTATACACTACTATACATTACACTATACACTACTATACACTACACTATACACTACTATACACTATTATACACTATACACTACTATACACTACTATACACTACTATACACTATACACTACTATACACTACTATACACTACTATACACTATACACTACTATACACTACTATACACTATACACTACTATACACTACTATACACTACTACTATACACTATACACTACTATACACTACCATACACTACTATACACTATACACTATACACTACTATACACTACCATACACTATACACTACTATACACTACTATACACTACTATACACTACCATACACTATACACTACTATACATTACTATACACTACTAATACATTACAATACACTACTATACACTACACTATACACTACTATACACTACACTATACTACTATACACTACTATACTACACTATACACTACTATACATTACACTATACACTACTATACACTACTATACACTACTATACACTATACACTACTATACACTACTATACACTACTATACACTATAGACTATACACTACTATACACTACTATACACTATACACTACTATACATACTATACACTACTATACACTATACACTACTATACACTACTATACACTACTATACACTATACACTACTATACACTACTATACACTACTATACACTATACACTACTATACACTACTATACACTATACACTACTATACACTACTATACACTATACACTACTATACACTATACACTACTATACACTACTATACACTAACACTATACACTACTATACACTACTATACACTACTATACACTACACTATACACTACTATACACTATACTACTACATTATACACTACTATACACTACTAACACTATACACTACTATACACTACTATACACTACTATACACCTATACACTACTATACACTACTATAACACTATACCACTATACACTACTATACAACTATACACTACTATATACACTATACACTACATACACTACTATACACTACTATACACTATACACTACTATACAAGACTATACACTATACAATATACACTACTATACACTATACACTACTCTACACTATACACTACATACATACTAGACACTACTATACACTATACACTACTATACACTACTATACAATATACACACTATACACTACTACTATACACTACTAGAAACGATACACTACTATCACTACTATACACTATACACTACTATACACTACTATACACTACTAATACACTACCATACACTTACACTATACACTACTAATACACTACTATACACTACTATACACTACCATACACTATACACTACTAATACACTACTACACTACTATACACTACTACTATACACTACTATACACTACTATACACTACTATACACTATACACTATACACTATACACTACTATACACTACTATACACTATACACTACTATACATTACACTATACACTACTATACATTACACTATACACTACTATACACTACACTATACACTACTATACACTATACACTACTATATACTACACTATACACTACTATACATTACACTATACACTACTATACACTATACACTACTATACATTACACTATACACTACTATACACTATACACTACTATACACTATTATACATTACACTACTATACATTACACTATACACTACTATACACTACACTATACACTACACTATACACTACTATACATTACACTATACACTATTATACATTACACTATACACTACTATACATTACACTATACACTACTATACACTACACTATACACCAGAGGTGGGACAAAGTCATTGTTATGCAAGTCCAAGTCGAGTCTCAAGTCATCAAATTCATGACTCGAGTCTGACTCGAGTCCAAGTCACATGACTCGAGTCCACACCTCAGAGGTGGGACAAAGTCATTGTTATGCAAGTCCAAGTCGAGTCTCAAGTCATCAAATTCATGACTCGAGTCTGACTCGAGTCCAAGTCACATGACTCGAGTCCACACCTCTGCTATACACTACACTATACACTACTATACATTACACTATACACTACTATACACTACACTATACACTACACTATACACTACTATACATTACACTATACACTACTATACAGTACTATACACTACACTACTATACACTATACACTACACACTACACTATACACTACTATACATTACACTATACACTACTATACACTACACTATACACTACTATACACTACTATACACTACACTATACACTATAATATACTACACTATACACTATACACTACTATACACTACTATACACTATACACTACTATACACTACACTATACACTACTATACACTACTATACACTATACACTACTATATACTACACTATACACTACTATACACTATACACTACTATACACTACTATACACTTTGCACTACACTATACACTATTATATACTACACTATGCACTACTATACACTATACACTACTATACACTACACTATACACTACTATACACTATACACTACTATACACTACTATACACTACACTATACGCTACTATACACTACACTATACAGTACTATACACTATACACTACACTATACACTACACTACTATACACTACACTATACACTACTATACACTACACTATACACTACTATACACTACACCAGGGGTCGGCAACCTACGGCTCCGGAGCTGCATGCGGCTCTTTACGGGTTGCTTCTTGACGATGAGTACGTATGTACTCAGATGCATTGCGGCTCTTGAAATACTGAATTTTGTACCGAATTGGAAAGAAATGGCTCTTCTTGTTATTTTGGTTGCCGACCCCTGCACTACACTATACACTACTATACACTACACTATACACTACTATACACTATACACTACACTATACACTACACTACTATACACTACACTATACACTACTATACACTACACTATACACTACTATACACTATACACTACTATACACTACACTATATACTACTATACACTACACTACTATACACTACACTATACACTACACTACTATACACTACACTATACACTACTATACACTACACTATACACTACTATACACTATACACTCCACGCCCCAGTACCGGATACTCTCCATACCTGTGGCTGCGCCTTGATGGCCTGTCCACGAAAATCATGAACAGGAGTGGGGACACGATGCACCCTCGGCGGAGTTCAACACCCACAGTGAACGATTTTGATTTCACACCGAGGATACGGACACAGCTCTCAGTCCGGGAATAAAGGGGCTGGCGAGCGCACAAAAGCGTCACCGGTACATCATACCCTTGCAGCACCTCCACACGACATTCTGAGGGCAACGGTCACGTGCCTTCTCCAAGTCTACAAAGCAGAAGCAGACTGGAGAAGCATAACTCATGACCTCTCAAATATCTGTGACAGGTTAAAGAGCTGGTCCATTGTTCCACGACCCTGAAGGAATCCGCATTGTTCCTCCTCAATCCGAGTCGTTAGCACCGGGCACAGCAGCCTCCTCTCGAGCTCGCTGGCACAGGCTTGGCCTGCTACGCTGAGGAGTGTGGTCTCTCTGTAGTTGGAGCGCACCCTCTTAGTGTCCTTTCTTAAACATGGGGACCACGACCCCAGTTTGCCAGTCCAGAGGTGCTGTACCCGGGGGTCCATGCAACATTGAAGGGGCGCGTTAGCCACGACACTCCGGCACTGTCCAGGGCGCGTTCAACAACTCCGGTGTGAATCTCGGCCACCCCAGCAGCGTTGCCGCTACGAAGGCCCTCGAACGTTTCAGCGGCTTCAGCAGCCGCGAGTGATCTGACCCCCCTCCCAGCTGTTTCCAGGGCTGCCACCTGAGAGGAAGCCATGTCCACCGTGGTTACGGAGCACCTCAAAGTGTTCCTGCCACCTCTCGACTAGCCCCTTAGTCGAGGTCAACGTTACGCCGCCACCGTTACTGAGAACAGCCTGGGCCACGTCCCGTCGACCCCTCCTAAGGCGTCGGATGCGTTGCCAGAACATCTTTGAGGCTGCCCTTGTAGTCTCTACCCCACGGCCTCCCCAAACTCTTCCCACGCCTCCGGGTTTTCGCTTCAGCGGCTGCTGCAGCTGCCGCTGCCGCCCTCTTGGCAAGCCCGGTACCTCTCAATCGATTCGGGAGGCCTTTATCCGAGCGTAGTTCGGAAAGCCTCCTCCTTCGACTTGACAGCTTCCCTCAACACTGCGGTCCACCAGCGTGTCCTAGGCTTGCCGCCATGACAGGCTCCAACTGCCTGCAGGCCACAACTTCTCGCAGCTGCATCGGCAATCGAGGCACTGAACATCGTCCACTCGGACTCAATGTCCACGACGTCCCATGGAGTGCAGGAGAAGTCTTCTCGGATGTAGAAGTTGAAGTCTTTCTGCACTGGGTCCTTCCGCCAGATGTTCCCAGAAAACCCAAACGATTCGTTTTGGCCTTTTCTGTCTATCTGGTCGGTGCCCCAAGCGTCGGATCCAACTGACCACCCGGTGGTGATCACTTGATAGCTCTGCCCCTCTCTTCACCCGAGTGTCCGGAACATTCGGCCTCAGGTCCGATGATACAACTATGAAGTCATTATTCTTAGGTTTTTTTTCAGTAAAGTCGCGTAGATTAAAAAATAAAAATAATAAAAGTAAAATAAAAATACAATGAAAATCGGAGGCGACACAAGCTTCCGTCTTCAGGTGGAACCGTCACAGCACGATACCGAAAAAACCTAAGAATATGAATCTTTGCAGTCACGAAAGCTTCAAATCTAGAATTATAAAGTCAATCATTGACCTTCGGCCCAAGGTGCTCTGATACCAAGTACACTCACGAACATCCTTGTGTTCGAACGCGGTGTTTGTTATTGATATTCCGTGACCAGTGCACAATTCCAATAACATCTCACCATTCGGGCTCAGATCAGGGGGGGGGGCATTCCTCCCATTCACGCCACTCCAGTCATCTCCGTCGTTTCCCACGTGAGCATTGCTGTCACCGGGTAAGACTGTCGAGTCGGTAGGCGGAACTCTGACGAACACTGCACCCACCGCTGGGGAGCCGGAAAAGCCCCTCTCTGTACCAGCGTGGACGTCACCCTCGTGGTGTTCACCTTCTGAAGCGCTCGCTTGTCACCGTGGCGTGCGAGATGACACCACCACAACCACGTGACTTTTCTTTCGTGTTGTGCGCGGTGCTTTTAGCGCCACAGCGCGTCGATTTGTAGCGTTGATTTTCATTTGTGTTGCTGGTGACTTTGTGTGTTTCATTATGAAATCGCCTCCAGTGCATTTGCTGCTGGCGGCAATAGAACGTTGTTTAAAAGTCTCTAAGAAGGCAGATTACTCTGAACAGGTGTTTGGTGCATAAGCACACACAACAGTCGGAGTTTTCCTTCCTGAGACCCGAAGTCTCATTGAGGCGGTCCTCTCATCCACTGGGACAAACTGGGATTTTTGCACACAGTGTTGGTGTAACGGTGTTTTTTCTGCAATATTTTGCTGTCTTTTCTTGGATTTTCTGTTTGCACTTAGTTCACATATTCACTTTAAGATGTTTTTGTTCATGTTTTAGTTTTTTGTTTGTTGCGGTTGCACCCGATTCAAGAGCCGAATGGCTCACAGGGCTACACCTAATACATGAAACTTGAACTTGAACTACTGAACAGCACTCAGCTGGGGTCTTGGGAATATCACCTAACCCGCTCGGGGCATCTCACCAGGGGTTACTCCGGAATAGAAGAGAGACTACCACCTCCCGATCGAAAAGTTTGATTCCAGTGCAAAATGCTGTGCGTGGAGCTGAGACCGACTATATCGAGTCGATACGTTTCCACCTCCAAAAACTTTCCACCTCCTCCTTCTCTACGGACGTGACATTCCACGTCCTGCATAATGCACGGGCATCATATGACTTTGAAACCCCCCGCCCACCTCCTACGCATTTCACATAAATATTCTAAATTCCTCTTGATATGCAAATTCTTTTGTCAAGGCACTCTTCTTCCACCCCTCCAAAACAGCAGCTTAAATATACGCTCCAAGCTTGGTGGTGTTTCATTCTTCACCTGAGGACGGCTGCTTGCGTTGTGGCCGAAACGTGGTGAGAATTGTATTTTATTATGTTTTATTTCTATTATTTTATTATTTCCCTTCTACGTGATGACTTTACCGAAAGAAACAAGAAGATGAATCCCTGCAGTCACGAATTCTTTAAATCGATATGCTAAATTACTCTTGATATGCAAATTATATTGTCAAGGCGCTCTTCCCCCTCCAACCCAGCAGCTTAAATATACGCTCCAAGCTTGGTGGTGTTTCATTCAGACGCTGTCTTTCCTACAGACCTGTTCTCCACCTGAGGACGGCTGCTTGCGTTGTGGCCGAAACGTGGTGAAAATTGTATTTTATTATGTTTTATTTTTATTATTTTATTATTTCCCTTCTACGTGATGACTTTACCGAAAGAACCAAGAAGATGAATCCCTGCAGTCACGAAAGCTTTAAATCGAAATTCCACATTCCTGATAGCCGGTGTCCATCGCCAAAGTCCAGTCCGTCCGAGACCGTCTTCACTCCCTGCCACGTTGCCATCGCACCAACCCCTCGCCCTTCGTCCTGCGGATCGCTAGTTCGTCTCATTACGTTCCGTATCGATTGCCACGACGATTGCTACTCATGAGTCGGAGGTAAAGCCGCGTGGAAGTTCATCCGTAAAGTGTTGGCCAGTTTGCAGCCGACGAAAAACAGCGATCGGGCGAGAGGTCCAAACCACGCACCCGCGTCGTTCTTAAAGCGGCCCGTTTGCCCGAGATTAGATTGTTCAATTTCGTTGTTGTTGCTTCGAGAACTGCATGGAACTTTTAAAACGTCCATGTTGTGGTTTGCTGTTGCTTTCATAACGTGCGTTATTGATTTCGTCTACTCGCCTGCTTCTCAAATTTGCAGCGTTGGTTTTTTTTTCACGGCCTTGGTGCTCAAAATAGCCACAAAAATCTGATTCGGAATAAACGTGAAGTCCCTCCTCCCTGTCTCTCTCTTTCTCTCTCTCCCCATTCCCCGCATTACCCCCACCGTCAATATGCGCGATGAAAACGAAAAAAATTAACCCGTAAAAACAAAGTTTTTCACTATAAATCCTTTATATGCGTGGCGGCTAGAGTCCTCTCGTCCTCTGGCTTGAGATGGCTGCCACCTATGGGTCAGATGATTGCCTGCCACCATTAAGCAATTGGTAATTAAATATAATTAATTTTTTCCTAAAAAGTAGAAAATTTTTGAATTTTTTTTTTCACAAAAAAAAATTGTCACGCACAACGAGTCTGTGTGCAAAATGTCAGCTCGATTGGATCACGGGAAGTGGGTTAAAAAACGACCGAAAGATTTGCACGGTCGTAAGCGCGCAAGCAAGCAAGCAAGTGAACTTAATATAAAGGATTTTTAAAAAATTAGTTCAGGCGTAAAATCAAAATGGAAAAAAAGGGTGGAGAAATAAAAAATGCGTGACCTTCACGAACTGTGTCCGTCTTAGTGCCGTGTGTCCCCTACGCGGTTGCAATGTTAACTACCTCGCCTGGTATACAGGAGGTCGCACGTTCAACCGCGACCCTGACGATGCCTGCTGCTGTATATGTGGAGTTTACGGCTCTTTCATCATCATCATCACAGTGGCTAGGAGACGTTAACTACCTCGCCTGGTATACAGGAGGTCGTGGGTTCGATCACAACCCTGACGCCTGATATATATTTAGAGTTTGTGTGTCTCTCTCATCATCATCATCATGGTGGCTAGGATATGTTAACTACCTCGCCTGGTATACAGGAGGTCGTGGGTTTGATCCTAACCCTGACGCCTGATATATATTTAGAGTTTTTTATGTCTCTCTCATCATCATCATCATCATGGTGGCTAGGAGATGTTAACTACCTCCCCTGGTATACAGAAGTTCGTGGGTTCGATTCCGACCCTGACGCCTGCTGCTGTATATTTGGATTCTGCGTCTCTCTCTCTCATCATCATCACCACGGTGGCTATGAGTCGTTAACTACCTCGCCTGGTATACAGGAGGTCGTGCGTTCGATCCCACCCATGATGATGCCTTCTGCTGTATATTTGGAGTCTGCGTCTCTCTCTCTCATCATCATCATCACGTATAAATGTGTCGTTAAACCCTCAGCCACCCGACACAGCCAATTAGTAAGGTTTGACACCTAAACAGAACGTGGCCAATTCGTCACTAGTACAGCGCACCGGTGTGTTGGAGAGCCAAGCCACAAGATTTACAATCTGGATGATCTTCTTGGTTTTTTCGGTAAAGTCACGTAGAAGGGAAGTAATAAAATAATAAAAATAAAACATAATAAAATATAATAAAAATTATTTTATTATATTATTTTATTATATTATTTTATTATGTTTTATTTTTATTATTTTATTACTTCCCTTCTACGTGACTTTACCGAAAAAACCAAGAAGATGAATCCCTGCAGTCACGAAAGCTTTAAATCGAAAAATCTGGATGATATTTGTCGCGAAAGCCTAAAAGGTGCTAAACTAAACCTCATCAGTTAGCCCGTTCCCTGAATGTTAGTTAGACACTTTGAAGTCATCTGGTTTGAAAACTCATCTCTTTAGGACTGCTTGTCGTTGTTGGTGTTTTAATTCTAGATTTGAAGCTTTCGTGACTGCAAGGATTCATACTCTTAGGTTTTTTCGGTAAAGTCACGTAGGTAAAAAATTAAAATTAATAAAAGTAAAATAAAATAAAAATCACGACGTTTTGGAGGCAACACAAGCTTCCGTCTTCAGGTGGAACCGCCACAGCACGACAGCTGTAATCAAGTGACGGTTCCACCTGAAGACGGACGCTTGTGTTGCTTCCGAAACGTCGTTATTTTATTTTATTTTTATTTTACTTTTATTAATTTAATTTTTTTACCTACGTGACTTTACCGAAAAAACGTAAGAATATGTTGATGTTTTAGTTTCGTAGTCCTTCCCCCCGCACCTCCGATTGGCTACGTACGCTGGCGCGAAATAACTACAAGCTGTTCTGGGTGGTGCTAGTGGCCGAGTGGGCGTCACTCATGTAAGAGTGGAAGGAGTTTAAGGAGGTGGAGGCTTTCCTGGATGGAGATCACTGTGGTGGTGGTGATGATGATGATGTCTCTACCCTGCGTGTGTTCTCTAATCCGCGTGTTCATCTCTGTCTGTCTCTCAGTGTCATCATCACCAAGGTCTATCCACTTCTGAATGAAGATCACTAATTCCCAGCATGCACCATCCCCACACTCAACTGTGTACTATGAACAGTAGGATATTTATGAATGCTAAGACATCTATGAATGCTAAGATATGAATGCAAGGATATGAATACAAGGATGTGAATGCCAGGATGTGAATGCTAGTATATGAATACTAGGATATTTATTCTAGGAAATGAATGCCAAGATATGAATGCAAGGATATGAATACTAGGATGTGAATGCCATGATGTGAATGCTAGTATATGAATACTAGGATATTTATTCTAGGAAATGAATGCTAAGATATGAATGCCAGGATATGATTGCGAGTATATGAATACTAGGATATTAATTGAAGGATATGAATACTCGAATATGAATTCTCGGATATGAACGCCAAGATGTTAATGCTAGAATATGAATACGATGATATGAATATTAGGATATGAATATTAGGATATGAATACCAGGATATGAATACTAGGGAATTAATGCTAAGATATGAATGCTAGGATATGAATACTGCGATATGAACGCTATGACATGAATGCTAGGATATTAATTCCCCAACGAAAGATCAAAACCTTTTCGTGGAGGTGGGTTGTGTTTGTTCCAATGACCCTATGTCGCCTGGAGTCTTGTACTCCTGGTAAGGTCTCCCTTAGCGAACAGGTCTGGGGGAAAGGTACCAGAAAAATAATGGTACGAACAAAAACCCCTCAGGAATGGTTCTGAAATATAAAGATCAGAGAACCTAACAAGACATACTGGGCCACTGGCCTTGACCCAGGCCTGGGTGGATGGTGTTCGCAGGCAAGCGCCTTGTGGCCGGGTGATCCCACGTGACCCCGGTCAGGCCCGGCCCAAAATGGCTACGTGGCGCCGTCGTGAAGGCCCCACTAGCCGCAGGACAAATGGCGAAGGGTTGGTGCGATGCCAGCGTGCTAGGGAGAGGGGTGAATATATTCTTAGGTTTTTTCAGTAAAGTCACGTAGTAAATTAATAAAAGTAAAATAAATTAAAAATAAAAATCACGACGTTTCGGAGGCAACACAAGCCTCCGTCTTCAGGTGGGACCGTCCCAGCACGATAGCTGTATTGATACAGGCAACACAAGCCTCTGTCTTCAGGTGGAACCGTCACAGCACGATAGCTGTATCAATACACGATCAATACAGCTATCGTGCTGTGACGGTTCCTCCTGAAGACAGAGGCTTGTGTTGCCTCCGAAACGTCGTGATTTTTAATTTTTAATTTTATTTTTATTTTACTTTTATTAATTTTATTTTTTTACCTACGTGATTTTACCGATAAAAAACCTAAAAATATGAATCCTTGCAGTCACGAAAGCTTCAAATCTAGAGGGGTGAGTCTCGGACAGACTGGGCCTTGGCGATGGACACCGGCTATCAGGGACGTGGAACATCACGTCACTAGAGAAGGAGTCAGAGCTGGTGGAAGAGGTGGAAAGGTACCGACAAGACATATCCGGCCTCACCTCCACGCACAGCTTTTGCACGGCAATCAAACTTCTCGATCGGAAGGTGGTTTCTTTCCTATTCCAGAGCAACCCTTGGTGAGAGGTCCCGAGCGGGTGTGGGGATACTCACAAGCCCACGGCTGGGTGCTGTTCATTTGGAGTTTGTCCAAGCGGGTGAGAGGGTCACCTCAATGAGACTTCGGGTCTCAGAAAGGAAAAACTCTGACTGATGTCTGTGCTTATGCACCAAACAGCTGTTCAGATTATTCAGCTTTCTTAGAGACGGTGGGTGCAGTGCTCGACAGAGTGACGCCTACCAACTCCATAGTCTTACTGGATAACTTCATTGCTCACGTGGGGAATGATGGAGATAAGTAGAGAGGCTTGATTGGGAGGAATGGCCTCCATAATCTGAACCCGAATTGTGAGAATTATTGGAATTCTTCGCTAGTCAGGGAATGTCAATAACAAACACCGCGTTCGAACACAAGCATGTTCGTGAGTGTATTTGGTACCAGAGCACCTTGGGCCGAAGGTCAATGATTGACTTTATAGTTGTATCATCAGACCTTAGTTTGTTGTAGTCCAGAGTTAGACTGATGGCCTTAATCTAAGTTGTCTTGTGGTTGTTGTTGTTGCTTGACTTGCATCCCACTGGGATTTTTTGCACACAGTGTTGGTGTACGGTGCTTTTTGTGGAATAGTTTGCTGTCTTTTCTTGGATTTTCTGTTTGCGCATAGTCACATAGTCACTTTAAGATGTTTTCTTGTTCATGTTTTTGTTTTTTGTTTGTTGCGGTTGCACCCGATTCAAGAGCCGAATGGCTCACAGGGCTATACCTACTACATTAACTTGAACTTGAACCTGAGGCCGTATGTTCTGGACACTCGGGAGAAGAGAGGGGCAGAGCTGTCAAGTGATCACCACCTGGTGGTCAGTTGGATCCGAGGAGTGAGGCACAAACCAGATAGACGTGAAAGGCCAAAACGAATCGTTTGGGTTTTCTGGGAACATCTGGCGGAAGGACCCAGTGCAGAAAGACTTCAACTTCTACATCCGGGAAGACTTCTCCTGCACTCCATGGGACGTCGTGGACATTGAGTCCGAGTGGACGATGTTCAGTGCCTCGATTGCCGATGCAGCTGCGAGAAGCTGTGGCCTGCAGGCAGTTGGAGCCTGTCATGGCGGCAAGCCTAGGACACGCTGGTGGACCGCAGTGTTGAGGGAAGCTGTCAAGTCGAAGGAGGAGGCTTTCCGAACTACGCTCGGATAAAGTCCTCCCGACTCGATTGAGAGGTTCCGGCTTGCCAAGAGGGCGGCAGCGGCAGCTGCAGCAGCCGCTGAAGCGAAAACCCGGAGGCGTTGGAAGAGTTTGGGGAGGCCGTGGGGTAGAGACTACAAGGGCAGCCTCAAAGATGTTCTGGCAACGCATCCGACGCCTTAGGAGGGGTCGACGGGACGTGGCCCAGGATGTTCTCAGTAACGGTGGCGGCGCAACGTTGACCTCGACTAAGGGGCTAGTCGAGAGGTGGCAGGAACACTTTGAGGTGCTCCGCAACCACGGTGGACATGGCTTCCTCTCAGGTGGCAGCCCTGGAAACAGCTGGGAGGGGGGTCAGATCACTCGCGGCTGCTGAAGCCGCTGCGGCGTTCGAGGGCCTTCGTAGCGGCAACGCTGCTGGGGTGGCCGAGATTCACACGGGAGTTGTTGAACGCGCCCTGGACATTGCCGGAGTGTCGTGGCTAACGCGCCCCTTCAATGTTGCATGGACCCCCGGGTACAGCACCTCTGGACTGGCAAACTGGGGTCGTGGTTTGCGTTTTTAGGAAAGGACACTAAGAGGGTGCTTTCCAACTACAGAGGGACCACACTCCTCAGCGTAGCAGGCCAAGCCTGTGCCAGCGAGCTCGAGAGGAGGCTGCTGTGCCCGGTGCTAACGACTCAGATTGAGGATGAACAATGCGGATTCCTTTCTAGATTTGAAGCTTTCGTGACTGCAAAGATTCATATTCTTAGGTTTTTTCGGTAAAGTCACGTAGGTAAAAAAATTAAATTAATAAAAGTAAAATGAAAATAAAATAAAAATCACGACGTTTCGGAGGCAACACAAGCTTCCGCCTTCAGATGGAACCGTCACAGCACAATAGCTGTATCACTTGATAGCTGTATCAGCTGATACAGCTATCGTGCTGTGACGGTTCCACCTGAAGACGGAAGCTTGTGTTGCCTCCGAAACGTCGTGAATTTTTATTTTATTTTACTTTTATTAATTTAAATGTTTTACCTACGTGACTTTACCGAAAAAACCTAAGAATATAAATGCGGATTCCGTCAGGATCATGGAACAATGGACCATCTCTTTTCCCTCTCACAGATACTTGAGGGGTCATGAGTTATGCTTCTCGAGTCTGCATCTGCTTTGTAGACTTGGAGAAGGCACGTGACCGTTTTCTGCCGTGTGGAGGTGCAGCGAGAGTTTAATGTACCGGTGACGCTTTTGTCCGCTCTCCGGCTCCTCTATTCCCGGACTGAGAGCTGTGTCCGTATCCTTGGTGTGATATCAAAATCGTTCACTGTGGGTGTTGGACTCCCCCAAGGATGCATCTCGTCTCCACTCCTGTTCGTGATTTTCGTGGACAGGACATCAAAGCGCAGCCACAGGTATGGAGAGTATCCGGTACCGGGGCGTGGAGGTGGCATCGCTGTTTTTTGCAGACGATGCTGTCCTTTTTGCCTCGTCGGTCTGCGATCTCCAGCGGGCACTCGGACGATTTGATGCCGAACGCGAAGCTTCTGGGGATAAGGATCAGCACCTCCAAATCTGAGGTCACGGTGCACTGCAGGGAGATGGTGGATTGCCCTATCCAAGTGGTCTGCGACCTCCAGCGGGCACTCGGACGGTTTGATGCCGAACGCGAAGCTTCTGGGTTTGAAGATCAGCACCTCCAAATCTGAGGTCACGGTTCCCTGCCGGGAGACAGTGGATTGTGCTCTCTACGTGAGGGGGGAACAGTTGCCCTTAGTGGAGGAGTTTAAGTACCTCGGGGTCTCTTTCACAAGTGATGGTGAGTGGGAGCTAAAGATCAGCCGGCGGACCGGTGTGGCATTCGCAGTGTTGTGGGTGCCGCACAAACCCGTGTTGGTGAAGTGGGAGCCGAGTTCTTGAACGAAGCTCTCGGTTTACAGTTCGATCTAAGTTCCCACCCTCACCTATGATGGTCACGAGCTGTGGGTAACGACCCAAAGGTTTAGATCCCGGGAACAGGGTGCCAAAATTAGGTTACTCCACAGGGTTGCCCGGCTCACTCTCCTTGATCGGGTGAGGTGCTCGGTTATCCGGTAAGCCTCGGAGTTCAGCTGCTGCTCTTCCAGATCAAGAGGAGCCAGTTGAGGTGGTTCGGGCATCTGCTAAGGATGCCCTCCGGTAGACTCCCCCTGGAATTATATTGTTCAGCAACGTCCCACTGGGCGAAGACGCCGGGGCCGACAAAAAGGACACGCCGGTGGGACTAAGTCACTCGGCTGGCCTGGAAACGCCTGGGAATTCCCCAGGTAGAGCTCGATTGCATTGCCAGGAAAATGAGGTCTGGACCACCCTACTCAACATGCTGCCACCACGATCCTCACCAGGATAAGCGGATTGAGAAATGAATGAACGGATATGAATGCCTGGATATGAATGCTAGGATATGAATGCTATGATATGAATGCTAGGATATCTATGAAAACTGGGATATGAAAACTAGGATATCTATGAAGGCTACGATATATATGTGATATGAATGCTAGGATACCTATGAATTGCTTGGATATCTATGAAAGCTAGGACATGAATGCTAAAGGGTGGGGAACTTCAAAATAATGTTGGTCAACAATCGATGAAAACGAATAAAAAAACAATGCGCACTAGAAGGAGGATGTAAAACAAACACGAGAAATAAAATTTCTCGATTTAAAAAAAACGAATTCGCACCAAAAACAATTTGAACACAACAGGCCTAAACAAAAAAAAAACTATCAACAACAGCAAACCCGGATTAACTAAATCGCCAATTAGTGTTTTTTCACTTCCCGTAACAATGAAGAGAATGAGACAAGTCAACACCTCGAATCGAGCCGACCGTTAGCCACGGAGGCGACAGAGAAGGCTCAAACCAGAGGTCACAATCGGGTACCCGATACCCGTACCCTACCCGATACCCGGCTACCCGTACCCGACCAGGTACGGGTACCCATTTGCGACCCTGGTGCGGCCGGGTACGGGTAGGCCGTGAGTCACTGGTGAGTCACCGTTTGTCACTCATTTCGGGTAGGGTACGGGTAGGGAACGGCTACCTGTACCCGGCCGGGTACGGGTACGGGTAGCCGTTTGCGACCCTGGTGCGGCCGGATACGGGTACGGGTAGGCCGTGAGTCACTAGTGAGTAACTGTTTGTCACTCATTTCCCAACATCTTGTCTATTCTCACAATTCAAGTTCCTAGAATCAACCCACCCGCGCCTGCAACATGGCTTCATCCCAGAGGTCGCAATCGGGTACCCGTACCCTACCCGATACCCGGCCGGGTACGGGTAGCCGGGTATCGGGTAGGGTACCCATTTGCGACCCTGGTGCGGCCCGGTACGGGTACGGGTAAGGAATCAAAACCCGTTTGCGACCTCTGGCTCAAACCTCCGAGGCAATGTGCCGCTGTAGCGGCTCATTGAGGGAATGCTCCGTCAACGTTCTCGTCTTTGTCGTCGTTGTTGATATCTCTTGAGGGGGGAACCACAGTCTCTCATCGTGGCATTTGCGAAACTAAAGACAACAAAAAATTTTGACTGCGGTTCTGGCGACGACGCCCCCTGCACTGAGCGGCGCGCTTAACTGGGGCGGCCGGGCCGGGCAGGGACGGGGACGGGGCGACCGTGACGCCTGCGGGTAAAGAGCTTTGTAGCTCATCGGATTTCTAACCTGCGGCGCAAATCTGAACGTTCTACGATTTCTGAAGCGGCTGGCGGCGGTTTACGCGGGAAAGCGGAGGGGGGGGCAGGTGGGGGGGGGGAATGGGGGGTGGGGGGGTTGGGAAGGGTACGGGGGGGGGGCGTGCAAGGGTTGGGGGGCTGGGGGGGTGGGGGGGGGTCGCCCGTTAATATTAACGGGGGGGGGTGGTTGGCTCGGATTGGGCGGTTAGAATAAAATTAAATAATTAACCGATGACCCCCGTCTCCCCCCCCCCTCGCTGCTATCCCCTCCCCTCATCCCCCCTACCCCCTTCTCCCCCCCCCCCACTATAAGATTCAGAGGGGGTGGGGAGGGGGGGAGGATGGGTAAAAACTTCCGATTCAAGAATAATTGTGGGGAGCTCTCAGTCCATCCATAACTGGGTTGTGAATGGTGGGGGGTAGGGGGTGGGGGTGGGGGGTGGGGGGGAGGTGGGGAGTGGGGGGTGGGGGTAGGGGGGGGGGTGCTGACTAATAGGGGGGGGGCAGGGCGGGTGGGGGGCATTGCAGGTCGTCATTAAAATTAGAAAAGTTAAATTAAAAGAGGAGGGGGGGGGGGGGGTGGGGTGAGGGAGGGGGGAGGGAGGGGTTCTGTGATGGTTGTTGTTGTTGTTTGTTTGTAGCATGCAGACACCAAAATTGTCAAAAATATTGTGGTCTCATCGATCAGGTGAACGGGGGTCACGTGGGCGTACGGAGTTCAGAGGTCACTGTCAGGGGAACGGGGGTCACGTGTGGACGTACGGAGTTCAGAGGTCACTGTCATGTTAATGGGGGTCACGTGGGCGTACGGAGTTCAGAGGTCACTGTCAGGTTAATGGGGTCACGTGGGCGTACGGAGTTCAGAGGTCACGGTCAGGTGAACGGGGGTCATGTGGGCGTACGGAGTTCAGAGGTCACGGTCAGGTGGACGGGGGTCACGTGGGCGTACGGAGTTTAGAGGTCACTGTCAGGTGAACGGGGGTCACGTGGAAGTATGAAGTTCAAAGGTCACTGTCAGGTGAATAGTCACGTGGACGTACGGAGTTCAGAGGTCACTGTCAGGTGAATAGAGTCACGTGGAAGTATGAAGTTCAAAGGTCACTGGCAGGTGAACGGGGTCACGTGGAAGTATGAAGATCAAAGGTCACTGGCAGGTGAACGGGGTCACGTGGACATACGGAGTTCAGAGGTCACTGTCAGGTTAACGGAGTCACGTGGACGTACGGAGTTCAGAGGTCACGGTCAGGTGAATGGGGGTCACGTGGACGTACGGAGTTCAGAGGTCACTATCAGGTGAATGGGGTCACGTGGGCGTACGAAGTTCAGAGGTCACTGTCAGAGGAACAGGGGTCACGTGACACGCACAGAGTTCAGAGGTCACTGTCAGGTGAATAGAGTCACGTGGACGTACGGAGTTCAGAGGTCACTGTCAGCTGAATGGAGGTCACGTGGAATTTTCGGTGGTCAAATTTTTTCCAGGGGGGTAGGGATGGGGGCGGCATCTGGTCCGATAAATCGACGGGGTGGGGGCTGAGGGGGGAGGGGGGGAGAGGTGTGCGGTGATCTGCCTCGGTCTGTTTGGCGTTTGTCCGTTTCATGTCAAATTTACGGCTTCAAATGTGTTGTTGTTATGGTTTGTTTCGTTTTAATTTAGTTCGATCTCTGGTTCGTGATGACCTGGGCAATGGACAGGGAGGTGGGTGGTTGGGTGGTTGGGGTTGGGGGGGTCGTTTACGCTTTAATTTTGTTTTGGCGCGACGGAAAATTCCCGCGAGTATAAATCGACGTCGTCATTAATGGATCGCGTGGATTTTTTTTTTTTTACAATTTTTGTTTGTTGGGCGATTGCAAATTTGGGACTTATTTTTGTTCGTGTACTTTAGAGTACATTTTCGCATTTTTATTTTAACAATTTAGTGTTTTTTCCCTCCCAAATTTTTCCATCGAATCGCTTGTTTCGTTTACTTGAATTTGTTCGCACAATTTATTTTTTTCACGTAATTTATTTTCGTACGTTTTTTTTTTTGAGTTAATGAACATGGGGTGGGTGAGCTCTTTGTACCTTTTGAAGAATTGCTCCACCTGTTACCTTCAGAATGGTGCGATAGCGTCAACAGGTTGACGCAAGATGCGCCCGCTCCTGAGCCGAACACCGTCACCCGCAGAGGGTCTCCCCCAAAGTGGACGATGTTCTCGCTGATCCAGCGCAACGCTTGGATCTGATCGAGGAGGCCGTAGTTGCCTTTCGCCGCCGGATCGTTCATGCTCAGGAAGCCTTTGGGGATGGCGCGGTAAGGAGGGAGGAGGAGGAGGAATGGGAGCGGTGGGGATGGGTGGGGGGGAGGTAAGGAAGGGGAGGAGGAGAGAGATGTGGGTGACGTTTTGGTGGTGGTGGTGGTTGTGGTGGTGGTGGTGGTGGTGGAATCAGTGGAGGTGGTGGTGGTAACAGAGGGAGGTGGTGGTGGTGGTGGACTCAGAGAAGGTGGTGGTGGGAACAGATGAGGTGGTGGTAATGGGATCAGTGGAGTTGGTGGTGGCGATTGGTAAAGGCGATGGTGGTAGTGGAATTAGAGGAGGTGGTGGACTCAGATCAGGTGGTGGTGGTGGTGGAATCAAACGAGGTGTTGTTGATGGGATCAGGGGAGGTGGTGGTGGAATCAGAGGAAGGAGGTGGTGGTGGAATCAGAGGAGGTGGTGGTAGGAACAGATGAGGTGGAGGTGGTAACAGAGGAAGGAGGTGGAGGTGGTGGTGGAATCAGAAGAGGTGGCGGTGGTGGAATCAGTGTAGGTGGTGGTGGTAACAGAGGAAAGAGGTGGTGGTGATGGTGGTGGTGGTAGTGGTGGAATCAGAGGAGGTGGTGGAATCAGATCAGGTGGTGGTGGTGGTGGTAGTGTGATAAGCGGAGGTGGTAGGAACAGATGAGGTGGTGGTGGTGGAATCAAACGAGGTGGTGTTGATGGGATCAGGGGAGGGTGGTGGTGCGATCAGAGGTGGTGGTGGTGGGATTAGAAGAGGTGGTGGTGGTGGTGGTGATGTCGGGGGTGGTGGGGAAGGGCAGAGCGTCACGCCGAGGCCAATGCCCCCCCCCTCACCCCCCCAGCCCCCCACAAACACCAACACGGTCGCTCACGTCCCGGTCAAGGGAGCCGGACAGAAGCTTCACTACCAAAACTCCACGATGGAGAGAGTAGAGAGAAGGGGGGGGGGGGGGTGGGGGCTGTACGAGGAAGGGGGGGGGGGCCGGTACAGCCACTCCACGTTCCCTCACCGAGCACTCCGAGGCGGTAGTTGAGGGTGACGACGATGACGTTGCCGTAGCTGGCGAGGACACTGCCGTCGAACAGGTTGCCGGTGCCCTCCATGTAGGAGCCGCCATGGATGTACATCATGACGGGGCGCGGGCCCTCGTCACGGATGTCTGTGGGGGGTGGGGGGTGGGGGTGTCACGTGGTGCGGGGGGGGGAGTGGAGGAGGTGGGGGGGAGGTGGGGGGGGGTGGAGGAGGTGGGGGGGTGGTGGTGTCACGTGGTGGGGGGGAGTGGAGATGGGGGGGTGGAGGAGGTGTGGGGGGGGGGGGGTGGAGGAGGTGGTGGGGGGGAGTGGAGGATGTGGGGGGGGGTGGAGGAGGTGGTGGGGGGGAGGTGGTGGTGTCACGTGGTGGGGGGGAATGGAGGATGTGGGGGGGTGGAGGAGGTGGGGGGGTGGAGGAGTTGGGGGGGGTGGAGGAGGTGGGGGGGTGGAGGAGGTGGGGGGGGGTGGAGGAGGTGGGGGGGGTGGAGGAGGTGGGGGGGGTGGAGGAGGTGGGGGGGGGTGGAGGAGGTGGGGGGGGTGGAGGAGGTGGGGGGGGTGGAGGAGGTGGGGGGGGGTGGAGGAGGTGGGGGGGGTGGAGGAGTTGGGTGGGGGGTGGAGGAGGTGGGGGGGGTGGAGGAGGTGGGGGGGTGGAGGAGGTTGGTCGTGGCACGTGGTGGGGGGAGTGGATGAGGTGGGGGGGTGGAGGAAGTGGGGGGGTGGGAAGAGGAGGGGGGAGGAGGAGGGGGGGTGGGGGGTAGAGGCAGAGAGAAAGAGACACACACACAGAGACACACACACACAGAGACACACACACACAGAGACACACACACACAGACACACACACACAGAGACACACACACACAGAGACACACACACAGAGACACAGACAGAGAGAGACAGACACAGAGGCAGAAATACATTGCATACACAGACACGTGGAGATACAGACGCCGAGATACACAGACAAACATCATCTACAAGGGCTGAGACACACACACAGACACATAAAGACAAAGCCCCCCCTTCCCCCCGTGTAGCCTCAACAGACTGTCGGGGCAAGTGCTGTTAGTAGCGAGCAGCAGCACTGTTGGGGTGGACGGCACCACCCGCGCCCGGCCGCCTTTGTCTCCCCAGTGGTGACGTTTACGAAACACCGCTACTGTAGGTGCTCTATTGAGGCCGAGCCGACCTAGGGGAGGTCCCGGGTGCGGTGGCCGTGAGCGAGAGTCGAACCCGGCTTGTGGGTGGGGTCGAAAGACTCACACAGAGACCCATAGACTCACACAGACTCATAGACTCACACAGAGACCCATAGACTCACACAGAGACCCATAGACTCACACAGATACCCGGTAGACTCACACAGAGACCCATAGATTCAGACAGAGACCCTTAGACTCACACAGAGACCTACAGACTCACACAGAGACCCACAGACTCACACAGAGACCCATAGACTCACACAGATACCCGGTAGACTCACACAGAGATCCATAGACTCACGCAGAGACCCACAGACTCACACAGAGACCTATAGACTCACACAGATACCCGTAGACTTACACAGAGATCCATAGACTCACACAGAGACCCATAGACTCACACAGAGACCCATAGACTCACACAGAGACCCACAGACTCACACAGAGACCCACAGACTCACACAGAGACCCGTAGACTCACACAGAGACCCATATACTCACATAGAGACCCATAGAATCACACAGAGACCCGTAGACTCACACATAGACCCATAGACTCACATAGAGACCCTTAGACTCACACAGAGACCCGTAGACCCACGCAGAGACCCGTAGACTCACACAAAGACCCACAGACTCCCACAGAGACCCGTAGACTCACACAGAGACCCATAAACTCACAACATGACCCATAAACTCACACTAGAGACCCACAGAGTCACAACGAGACCGATAGACTCACACAGAGTCCCATAGACTCACACAGAGTCCTATAGACTCGCACAAAAACCCATAGACTCACACAGAAACCCATAGACTCACACAGAGACACGTAGACTCACACAGAGACCCGTAGACTCACACAAAAACCCATAGACTCACACAAAAACCCATAGACTCGCACTGAGACCCGTAGACTCACACTGAGACCCACAGACTCCCACAGAGACCCGTAGACTCACACAAAAACCCATAGACTCACACAAAAACCCATAGACTCGCACTGAGACCCGTAGACTAACACAGAGACCCATAGACTCACACAGAGACTCATAGACTCGCACAAAGGCCCATAGACCAACAACGAGACCCATTGACTCACACAGAGTCCCATAGACTCACACAAAAACCCATGGACTTACACAGAAACCCATAGACCCACACAAGGACCCGTAGACTCACACAGAATCCCATAGACTCATAAAAAACCCATAGAAGTTACTCGATCTAACCCATAAGACCTCTATTTTGGATGATATTGGTCATGGAAGTCAACTACTACCACACACCGATACACACAGAGACACACAAAATATACGTAGAAAGACACACACAGAGACAGACGTGGATACATCCAGGCCAGCTACAGAGACAACACTGATATACAAAGACGAAGATCCCCCCTATAGCCTCAACACACTGTTGGGGCAAGTGCTGTTAGCGAGCACAGAACCACGCCCGACCGCCTTTGTCTCCCCAGTGACGATGTTTACTACACACCGCAACCAAGTACTCATTTGAGGCCGAGTAGACCTAGGCGAGGGCCCGGAACCGGTTCCGATAATCACCGTCACCGGTTTCTTTGGCCCGTTAGCGGGAATCGAACTTGGGTCTCGAATATTGCAGCGTGGTGCAGCTGCACCACCGCTCCCCCACACACGAACACAGAGACAAAGCTCCCCTGTGTAGCCTTTAGCAGACTGTTGGGGCAAGTGCCGTTCGCGGGTAGCACCTATGAAGGCCGTCACGGTGGCACCAGCTACTCATCTTTGGTGGCTGAGTCTACCTAGGAGCGGCCCAGGACGGGCTTGGAAATTCCCCACTGGAGGTTCTGATCGTGGGAGGGAATCGAACTCGGGTCACCGGGGGGTTCGGAGTGGCAGCGCGCTCACCGCGGCGCCACCGCTCCACATGCAGGCGCACAAACTGAACGCATCGCGACGTTGAACAGGAGTGGATTATTGAATCTATCTGTGTAGAGCGTCGAATGTCAATCAGCTGGGTGATCGGAGCCAAAGTCTCACGACGAATGAAACTCGGCGACTCGGCGAAACACAGAGACCACTAGACTCACAAAGAGAGTAGTAGATTCACACAGAGACCCATAGACTCACACAGAGACCCACAGAAACCCACAGAGAAACATAGGGTTACATAGAGCAACAGAGACCAATAGGGTTACATAGAGACACAGAGACCCACAGAGACTCAGAGAGACCCATAGGGTTACATAGAGACACAGAGACCCACAGAGACTCAGAGAGACCCATAGGGTTACATAGAGACACAGAGACCCACGAAAACCGACAGAGACCCATAGGGTTACATAGAGACACAGAGACCCACAGAGACTCAGAGAGACCCATAGGGTTACATAGAGACACAGAGACCCACATAAAACCCACAGAGACCCATAGGGTTACATAGAGCCACAGAGACCCATAGGGGTACAAAGAGACACAGAGACCCACAGAGACTCAGAGAGACCCATAGGGTTACATAGAGACACAGAGACCCACATAAACCCACAGAGACCCATAGGGTTACATAGAGCCACAGAGACCCATAGGGGTACAAAGAGACACAGAGACCCACAGAGACCCAGAGAGACCCATAGGGTTACATAGAGACACAGAAACCCACAGAAACCCACAGAGACCCATAGGGTTACATAGAGCCACAGAGACCCATAGGATTACATAGAGACACAGAGACCCACAGAGACCCAGAGAGACCCATAGGGTTACATAGAGACACAGAGACCCACAGAAACCCACAGAGACACATAGGGTTACATAGAGCCACAGAGACCCATAGGGTTACATAGAAACACAGAGACCCATAGGGTTGCATAGAGACACAGAGACCCACAGAAACCCACAGAGACCCATAGGGTTACATAGAGACGAAGAGACCCACAGAGACGCAGAGAGACCCATAGGGTTACATAGAAACACAGAGACCCACAGAGACCGATCAGGAAACACAGATACACAAAAACCCACAGAGACCCATATGGTTACATCGAGACATTCGAACCAAAAGAGACCCAAAGAGACCCATATGGATACACAGAGACATGGATACCCACAGAGGTCCAAAGAGACCCATAGGGATACATACAGATGCACAGATACCCACAGAGACCCATAGGGATACATAGAGACACAGAGACCCACAGAGACCCATATAGGTACATATAAACACAGAAACCCACAGAGACCCATAGATAACCAAATGGATACATAGAGACACAAATAACCATAGAGACCCACAGAGAACCACATAGATAAATAGAGACACACAGACCCAAAGAGACCCAATGGGATACATACAGACAAAGCGGCCCACATAGACCCTTTTGGATACACAGAGACACACAGAAACCCACAGAAACCCATAGGTTTACACAGAGACCCATAAGTTTACACAGTGATACAGAGATACACAGACATCCATAGGGTGAGAGACACAGAGACCCACATAAACCCACAGAGACCCATAGGGGTACATATAAACACAGAAACCCACAGAAATCCATAGATACCCATATGGATACATAGAGACACAAATACCCATAGAGACCCACAGAGAACCACATAGATACATAGAGATACACAGACCCAAAGAGACCCAATGGGATACATACAGAGAAAGCGACCCACATAGACCCATTTGGATACACAGAGATATACAGAGACCCACAGATACCCATATGGATATATAAAGACACAAAGACCATAGAGACCCTTATAGATACACAGCAACACAGAAATCCATCGGGTTACACAGAGACAAAGAGACCTACAGAGACCCATAGGCTTACACGTTGACCCACAGGTTTACACAGTGATACAGAGATCCACAGAAACCCATAGGGTGAGAGACACAGAAACCCAAATAAACCCACAGAGACCCATAGGGGT